AGGTTCCTGGCAGGACCTGCGGATCTGTGGAGAGAGGAGCCCACGGAGCAGGTTTTCTGGCAGGACTTGTGACCCCGTGGGGGACCCACGCTGGAGCAGTCTGTGCCTGAAGGACTGCACACCGTGGAAAGGACCCATGCTGGAGCAGTTCGTGAAGAACTGCAGCCCGTGGGAATGGCCCACGTTGGAGAAAGTTCGTGGAGGACTGTCTCCCGTGGGTGGGACCCCACGTTGGAGCAGGGGAAGAGTGTGATGAGCCCTCGTCCTGAGGAGGTGAAGCGGCAGAAAATAACATGTGATGACCGTAAACCCCATCCCTGTTCCCCTTGTGCTGCTGGGGGGGCTTGGTGGAGAAATCCGGGAGTGAAGTTGTGCCCGGGAAGAAGGGAGGGGTGGAGGGAAGGTGTTCTGAGATTTCGTTTTATTTCTCATTTACCTTACTCTGGCTGATTTGTAATAAAAAGTGAGCTAATTTTCCCTAAGCTGAGTCTGTTTTGCCCGTGATGGTAATTAGTGAATGATCTCTCCTGTCCTTATCTCGACCCGCAAGTTTTTTGTTATATTTTTCTCTCCCCTGTCCAGCTGAGGATGCGGGAGTGATAGAACGGCTTTGGTGGGCACCTGGCGTCCAGCCAGGGTCAACCCATCACAATAAACTACAAGTGGTTCCTCCGAACAGCTATTTTCTTTCCCCCTCTTGGGTGGTGGAGGGACTTGGAAGTGCTCTAGGTGAGGTGCAAACATGGGCCTAAGTAAAGGATCATTCACCACCAACTGCATGTGCCCCACATACTTAGAGGAATGAAAATGGTCATTTCATCCCAACATACTGACTTTAAAAGTTCCACTGAGGAATACAGGTGTTTTATTCATGAGAAGCATTTGAAAACTGGGTCTACAAATGAATTCAGAAAGAACAAAATTTCCTTGCAGGAGATCCAGGAGAAATAGCTCTGAAGAGCTTAAGCTGAGGTGTGAGCTCTTCAACCTTGCTGAGCTCCAAAGCTCCTGGTAATTTAAAATCCTGCTGATCTACCACAGACATCCCCTCATAGATCAGGTGTGGATTTTCTTCTATTTCTAGTCTTCTCTGACAAGCTAAAATAAAGCCTATGGATATTTCTCTCTCCATTACAAAGCTACTTCGTGTCTTTGCTATAGAAGATGTCCAGTGTAAATTCAGCTTTGTTAACATCCGTAAATGACCCAAAACACCAAACACAAGATCAGAGATGAACTGCATTTCACCTGCTGCCCAGGTGAACTACCCCAGCAGTTAATGCGCTGCAGCAGATCTGCCACGTGAAGCACGAGGCATTTAAATCAGATTATACAAGCTTGTAAAGGGCAGACGCTCCTGGGCCTCTAATCACAAAACCCGCCCTTGTGGAAAGCAAACAATTCTACAGTCCCTGACAGAGTCTGGCCATTTTATGTGTGAATTTGTCGGTCAAGAAAGCAAGGGACTCGAATGGTGGGGGAGAGCAGCAGAGAGCACCAGCAGCAGCTGTACAGACTCCCTGCTGATTTCAGGTTCCACAAGTTAGTCCTGGCCTTTTGGCACCCCAAATAATGATGAGGTTTCCTGGGGAGTCCGCTTTACCTCCCAGTGCCTGCTTTCTACAGCAAATGCAGTGCTATTTTTGTAACTGCATATTACGTAAGTTTACGTGGACGTTCACACCCCACACAGGAGGTACATGATGCTATAGTGAAAATACACTTGTGGTCAATGCCTCACAGCACGCCTGTGTGCTCTCCAGAGCCCACAGATCTCTCTCAGCCTGCACCCGAGGCCACGGAGTGTGTCCCAGCCAGGGAAAGGTCTGGTGAGAGTCAAATTTTGTCCCTCTGTTTTCCTCATGAAGCCCCCATAAGCTGTGATCGTTCTCAACGGACCTGCTCACAATTCTCAACGGCTTCTCTTGTGGAAAGCACTGCAGAGGGAATCCCCCCCTTTTTTTAAAGATCACATTTCCTACGTGGTTGGCCATCTTCACACATCAGAAGTTGAATCATGCAACACAAAAGGCATGTGGTGAGTAAACTACCTTTCTATCTAAGGAAACTGGGGACAGCCCTGAGGGGAAGGAAGGGGTAATGTAAGTGAAGCAATGAGAATGGTACTGCAAGTGTGGCAAAGCAGAGGCTGAATTTCAGTACACGGTTCCTTCCAGGAAGATTTGAAAGCAGTTTACCAAAACAAAAAAAAACAGAAATAGTGCAAACTGTGGCATAGAGAGAGACATGACTTAATTTCAGGTCTCCCAGGAAGGCAATAGTTAAAGCAGTATCTCCAGAGTCCATTGTCCTGTCTGGTAGGGCATGAGCACTTCAAAATGAGGAGCTTCCTTAGCAGCCACATGGGAAGAGCTGTGAGCACGAATGGGCAGCATTTGCTTCCCGTCACTCCTGGACTTTCCAGGGACAGGAAAGCTGAGGAAAGAAGTGGCAAAGAGGAAGGAAAAAAGCAAAACGGAGAAAGACCTTATGCACCCTGCCTTAGAAATGAAGCCTGGCTGCTGGGGCCAGAGGATGCAGCTGGGTTAACACCTGACCCAGGACTGAGCTATTTGGCTTCCTCTGCTAAGCTGGATGACGCTGAGCCCACTTCAGTGTCCTCTCCAGGGAACACCGTCATCCTCAGTGCAGGAACAGCCCTTCCCGCGCTGCAGCATGGTGAAAGCCGTGCCCTTGTGCCAGGAGATTGGGAGTGGTGTACCTCGGAGGTTTTGGAGGACTTGGCAGCCACTGGGAACATGAAGGGTAGAGGAGGTAGGGCAGCACTGGGCGGAGGCCAGGGACTACCCAAGACTTAGTTGATTTGGGCAGCTGGAAATGTGGAATGACAGTATTTGAGAATGAGGAGACAAATTTCAGAGAAAGGGGTGGCAGCAAGCAGGAGGGGCAGGGACCTGCGGTGAGAGGGACAGCAGGAATCAGATGCCTGGAGCGTGATGGTTATGCCAGGCAGCTGGAGGGAAAGGCCAGAGCAAAGGGAGGCTTTAGCAAAGTCACTGAGTAGGTGAGTTCCTGGGGGAAAGCAAAGTGGAAGGAGGAAAAAGAGGAGGGACAAGGGCAAAACTGAGACTACCAGGGAGACCAACGAGAGACAGAAGCCACCTTGAAAGGAAGCACAGGTAGCCCTAGGCAAGACCTGTCTGTCCTGAAGCAGTTTTGGCCTCTGGTGGGGGATGCCCCAGGTTAGGAAGGTGATACTGCTGTTGGCAGACACCAGAAAACAGCTTTTACTCTTCATCCATTCATCCTTTATTGTCACAGCCCACGTTTTAGGTGCATCTCGCTGCTGGCCTGGAAGGCAAGGACTCATTATGCCACCCTTGCACAAGCTGGGCTGTTTCTTATCTCCTCTGCTGCACAACTATGATTTTCTTAATCTGCCTCTACTGCTTACAGCATATGTTTTTTTGGTCATACTTCACTGGTAGGTGTTAATTAGCCTCTCAAAAAGTAGGCAACAAATATTGTTTCTATGTTTTGTTCTTGGCTTCCTTGTTTTTAACTCTTTCCTTCACTAACAGGCAATAAATGTTCACTCTCCCTTAGCAAGAACATTAAACTTTTTGAAGGAAAGCACAAGTGCTGTTGCCAGTTTCACTCTGCAGACAAGAAGCACAGAAGGAGAAACATTGGTAGGATTTTCATTCACTGAAAACTACTTAACTCCAAGAGGAATTGTAGAACCTCAGGAGTCTTCTGCATTTCTGAAGGTGAGATGAGAGCTCTGTCAAACCAGCAAAGATCACTTAGTTTTAAAATTTGGACTAGAGCTCAGGACTGATTGGCTTCCATATCGGTACCAAGACCACCAGGATGTGCTTCTTGGATGCCTATATGAATTTTATACCACATCCTGCTCTTCTACAAGAAATGGGTTTTTTTGTAAGGCCATATGGAATAATTAAAGTGGAATTTATCTCCATGTGGGGCCATCCCCTGATTAAGGAATGAACACTGATACTCATGGTGTATTTTGATGAAGGAGGTCCTTCCAGTTGGGCAGTGTCATTTCCTTGTGCTAAACTCTGATCTCACAGTTTCCTCGGTCACTTCTTCCTTTTCGTAACTTAAGATTATTGTTAGAAAAAGCAGGGAAACATTGAAAGAAAAAGTCAGCAGGTACCAAAGTTAAGACGAGAGATAAACATTTAATGTAATCTTTACATATGTGCTTGCTTCTGTATGATTTCTGTATTATAGTCCATAAATAGCCATGTCAGAAAAGCATGACACGGATGTATCTGCTTTCAACTGAGTTACACCACATGTGCACGTGTGCTTGCTTTTCAGTCGGATGTATTTTATCTCCATCCTTAAGCCTACAGGATGTAACCAATGTGTCAGTGAGCAGGTGTGAGACCACAGACTTGCTGATCTGACCAACATGCACAATGTAAGGCTTCTCTGGGTAGTTTTGAAAAATTGCATCAATAAGCAAAGTAATACAAAATGTTACTACATCTTTCTGCCTTTCATCTTATGGACCACATCTTCAGTCAGTGTATTTCTGTGCAGGCAGCAGTTGCATCACCTTGCACTATGCTGGTGTAATTGATGGTAAGTTAATTTTTTGCACAAATGATGAACAGAACAATTGTGCTCAGGGACGGGTCGCGTGAAGAGTGGGATTTTAAATCCTTGCATGTCCCTCAGCCTATTACTTGCCGTACCCCTCAGATGCAGCGTTGCCAACTTTCAGGAAAGTTTTACTATTAAGCAGTTGAAAATACCGTCTTTGTTTCTTTTAACTTAGTAACGGATAAAAAGTTCCACTCGCTTTTTATCACTCTGCCTGCGTACAGCCCCCGCGTGAGGCCCAGAACCGGTGTGTTTGTTCAGCCCGGTGCCGTATCCCAGCAGTACTGGAAAGCTCTTCTCAGAAGACCAAAGAGGAAGTACGTGCCAAATTGTTCAAAGCGTTTTAACGAAACTATTTTCTTTTTGTACCGAGAACAAAAACTGCTTAGGTGGCAAGCTTCATCCTGCTCCCCCCCCCCCCCCGACCGTGGGCTGACCTCCCCGGGCCGCTCGCCTGTCAGCTTCCCTGCAGCCGGGACCGGCTGAGCTTGGGCCTCATCTTTCCCCTCACACGAACGCACACTTCGCTTCGGTTACGGCTGCGAAAGCGGCCCCGCCGGTAACGGAGCCAAGGGCGGCCGCCGCCTCCCGCCATTTCCTGTGAGGCGCCGCTCGTGGGCGGGGCTCCCGCCAAGGGCGGGTGTCAGCCGCTCTCACGTGACACCTCCCCGAGGGCGGACCGCAGAGGAGGGGAAGGGGGGGGAAATGGGCGCATCACGTGACGCGGGCCGCGGCTGCCGGCGGGCAGCGGTGCCCCGCCGTCACGTGAGCGGGCGTGTGAGGCGGGAGGGAGGGCGTCACACGGCAGGGTGGGGCGGGGCGCCGGGCGCGCATGCGCGGGCAGAGAGCGGGCTGGTGCGGGCCGGGCCGGGCGGCCGCTCCCCTCGCTGGCAGTGCTCGCTAAGATGGCGGACTTCCTGCCGTCGCGCTCCGTGCTGTCGGGTTGCTTCCCCGGCTGCTTGCTCACCAGCGGCGAGGCCGAGCAGCAGCGCAAGTCCAAGGAGATCGACAAGTGCCTCAACCGCGAGAAGACGTACGTGAAGCGCCTCGTCAAGATCCTGCTGCTGGGCGCGGGCGAGAGCGGCAAGTCCACCTTCCTCAAGCAGATGCGGATCATCCACGGGCAGGACTGGGACCGGGCGGCCCGTGAGGAGTTCCGCGCCACCATCTACAGCAACGTGATCAAGGGTGGGTGAGCGGCGGCGGCGGGGCCGACCGGCCGGCCCCCCGAGACACCGGGCC